CATAACAAAATAAAGAGAAGTCATATTTACAGTGCTCTATGAAATTTAAGGTTTGCATTTCACCGATTCTTCCGATTTTAAATTCCTTGATAATAGTTATTTGTCTGGTAGATTATTACCGATATGATGTTTCTTGCCTTCTTTACCTGGTTTAATTAGCATCCGACAATTCGAGGATGTTGTACGTATCCTGGTACCTCTAGCTTAAGCAACTTAAACTCTTTAAACAGAAGAAAGAAATTATACTGACCTTACTCTCTGAACATGGGAGATACATGTTCCATTGTTCTGAAGTTTATATTCCCTTTACGGCTTGACAAAATCTGAGGGGCGAAGCGTTGCACAATAAAAATGTTGCATCAGGGTTGCAACAGATGTCTTATACTAACAGGTTTGGTAGGTTAAATTCAAGATGACATGTAGGTAAATGGATTTTTCAAAACTTATACATGGAGTGTAAAAACTGTATGGAGGAAGGGTTCCAGGAAAAGTTGGAAGGCGGCTTAGGAGTTTGTGGAGAGGCTTGGCGTGAGCGTGTTAAATAGGTGCGAATGAAGGCAAATGGTTTTAAGGAATTGATATGCTGTTGGAGTGTGAGCAAGGTAACATTTATGAAGGGATTCAGGGAAACCGGCAGGTCGGACTTGAGTCCTGGAGATGCGAAGTACAGTGCTTGCACTCTGAAGAAGGGGTGTTAATGTTGCAGTTTTATAACTGTAGTGTAAGCGCGCCTCTGGCAAGATAGTGATGGTAAAAGTTTTTCTTCTTCGGGCCACCTGCCTTTGTGGGAGATGGCCGTTGTGTTAATAAAAAAAATAACTTATAATCCTCATAATTAATCCTCATAAATTAATCTAATTTGTACAGTCTTGGACTTACGTTCAAATTGTAATCAGGACTATTTTATATAAAACTTGATTCTATTCTACTTCGTTCAACAATTAGCTTGCTTGTTACAACTTTCCTGCTTGTTACAACTTTCCTGCTTGTTACAACTTTCCTGCTTGTTACAACTTTCCTGCTTGTTACAACTTTCCTGCTTGTTACAACTTTCCTGCTTGTTACAACTTCCTGCTTGTTACAACTTTCCCGCTTGTTACAATTTTCTCCTTTTATGTTACAAATTTCCTGCTTGTTACAACTTTCCTGCTTGCTACAACTTTCCTGCTTGTTTTCAACTTTCCCGCTTGTTTTCAACTTTCTTGGCTTGTTACAACTTTCCTGCTTTTTAAAACTTTCCTGCTTGTTACAACTTTCTTGCTTGTTACAACTTTCTGCTTTTTTAAAACTTTCTTGCTTTTTTACAACTTTCCTGTTTGTTACAAATTTTCCTGCTTGTTACAACTTTTTTGTTTGTTAAAACTTTCCTGTTGTTACAATTTTCCTCTTTTTAAAAACTTTCCTTTTTTAAATTTTCCTGTTTTTAAATTTTCCCTGCTTGTTACAACTTTCCTGCTTGCAACTTTCCTGTTGTTAAAAACTTTTTTGCTTGTTCAATTTTCCTGCTTTTTAAACTTTTCCTGTTTTTACAATTTTCCTGCTTTTACAATTTTCCTGCTTGTTAAAATTTTTCCTGCTTTTACAATTTCTTGCTTGTTAAAAAATTTCCGCTTTTTTCAACTTCCTGCTTGTTACTTTTTTCCTGTTGTTACAACTTTCCTGTTTGGTTAACTTTCTTGTTGTTACAATTTTCCGCTTTTTAAATTTCCTTTGTTACAATTTTCCCTGTTTTTACAATTTTCCTTGCTTGTTACAACTTTCCTGTTTGTTCAACTTCTTGCTTTTTTAAAAATTTCCGCTTGTTACAACTTTCCCTCTTGTTACACTTTCTTGTTTTACAATTTCCTCTTTTTAAAACCTTTCCTGTTGTTAAATTTTTCCGCTTTTTAAAAATTTTCCTGCTTTTACAACTTTCCTGCTTGTTACAATTTTTTCCTGTTTGTTAAACTTTTTTGCTTGTTACAACTTTCCTGCTTGTTACAACTTTCCTGCTTGTTACAACTTTCCTGCTTGTTACAACTTTCCTGCTTGTTACAACTTTTAAAAAATTTACTTGTTAAAAAATCTTCCCCATGGAAAAGCAGACATTAGCCCTTTCCCCGGTTTAATTTGCATGTATATTGTGTAATCTTAGATCAAGACTTTTTCCAGTTTTTCTCAAACAATTTTTTTTTTTTTTGTTGCGTTTTGTACATGGAAGCTATAAACACAGAGGGGCTTGGGGGGGAATTTTTTAAAATGGATACTATTTTATATAAAGATTTTAAAACCCGGATTCTAGAGTTTTTAAATTGAGAAGTATAAAAAAAAGGGGACTTCAAAATATGGCAAATCAATGTTCCGGGTTTGAACTTTTTTTGTACCTAATAAACCAGTTGTAGGCAAAAATTTTTTTATAAAGGATCCCTTATACTTTTTTGGTGTTTTTAAAAATGTGAGAATAATTTGTAAATAAAACAGATATTCATGTTCCCCCTTAAAATTCAAATCAAAATTTCTTGTTCCTTTAAAATTTTAAAACATCAAAAAACAATAAAACATTTAATGGCAAAATCCCCATTGTTTTTATAATACAAAAGGGCAGATTATGTTTATTCCCTAATTGCAAGGTCGATTCATACTCCGGCTTCGCCTCTTCACTTTGTGTGTGTTTTGTTTGTGTGTGTGTTGTTGTGTGTGTGGTTGTGTGTGGTTTTCTCCAGAAAATTTTTCTTTTAAAATTTAAAAATTACTCTAAATAAGTCCCCTCTAAAGTTGTATATTTTCCCTCCCTTTTTTAAAATTTTTAATTTGAGAGAAACCCCATTAATACAATCGGGTACCTATTCAATTTTTATTTAAATTTTTTATTTTACTGTACTTAAAATTTTGCCACTCACTTCATATGCTTGATAATATGGAATATTCTGTGACACACACAATCTTCGTTAACATTGGTGTGTTTTGGTGATTATCTGTTTTTAACAATCATCAGAGGCTGTTTAACACTTGTCTCCTTAATCGCACTATGATATCCCCACTACTGGTATACTCGTGTTTCCCTCCTTCCTCTTGTGGGGGGCGACAGCAAAGGGGCTTTGAACACCCCAAAACAGACAGGAGGGAGTTCGGGGACATACCCATGCCACGCCCGTAGTTTCCACTCACATCCAAACCCAACCCTTAAAAAAAACCGGACCTTTGCTTGCAGTGACTGTGCTGTGTTGGGGTTTTATTAAAAAAAAAACCGAACTGTAAAATGACGTAAGTTCGTGTTACAGATATCAATTTATCATAATGTGACCTGTAATATAAAGCTGGGATGCGTGTCCGGGGTACTCCCTTTAAAAAAGAAAAGGGATTCGGGAGCTTTTAGCAGGACTATGAACCCAAGACAACAGTGCATTGAATGTCTCATCAGCTTTAGTTTTTGGCCCGGATATACTAAAAAGAAATCCTTTGGATACAGGGAAAATTCACATCCTGGTGGGCTTCATTTTTTTTAAGAGGGACATTTTGTTTCCTTATCACAATATTGACATGAAAGCCTGGAAAAAAAACAGGGAAAAAATGAAAATATTTTTCCCGTGTTTTGAAACCTTCCTATGCAAACTGAATTTTTGCAATCTAATGGGCCCCGAAGCTAACCTATGACACTGAGCTTGACCTTCATCATTACGTTCTATGTCATCATTGAAAGGGCCTTGGCCCTATAATGACTCCAACAACGCTCATTGGGGGGGCCGGTTAGAACTCAAAAATTAGGGACAAAGGAAATTAATGTCAATGCTATGGTCCCTCCACTTGGATTACTCCTTCATGATAAAGTAATGTTGCCAAGGTACGGGAAAAAATTTTATAACTTTTTTTGTGTTTAGATTTAATAAAAGGAAGAATAAAAAAGAAAAGGGGTTTTTATAGGGGAATTTAAACCCATGGGCTTTCCCATAATAAATTGGGGGGGAAAAAAATAAAAATTTTTATAGAATTTCATTAAACCGAGTTTGTATCCAGGTTTAGGCTGGTTTAAAAATATTTGGAGTTTTTAGAAACAGAATGATAAATTTAAAAAGTGCACTAGGCCCCCTTTTAAAAAGGCTTTTGCCAAATTTTGGGGAAACAAGAAGAAGTTAAACCCAAAAGTAAATTGTACAATTATGAAAAATTCGAAACAAAAAAATTTTCCCAAATTTTTCCTCAATAGGAAATAAGAAAATATAAAAAACCTATTTCCGGTTTTTCCCTTTTTTAGTTCTACCTTTTGTTTTCCATTTGCTCTCCCCTAACCCTAAATGGGTTGGGGGAAATTAAAAATCCCCTTTGTTTCAAAAATTTAAAATTCCTAGGGGTTTGTGAAACCATAACTTCCGGGTTACCCTCCCACGAAAAAAATTAATGGGAGTGAATAAAATTTTGAAGGGGGAAATTGAAAATTTTAAAAAAAAATAAAAAATTAAAATTAACCAACGCCACAGGGAATAAATTAAAATTTTGGATAAAATGTTTTAAAGAATAGATATATGGATTTGGAAATTGCCCAAAAGATATTTTTAAGAGAAAATGCAATGAAAAGGGGGGAGTTTTTTTGGGGTGCACAGCGCTACTCCCTCTTTTGGGGCTTGTCCTGCAGTAGTGTTAGATTTTCAATTAAAATGCAAAAACATGTGATGTACTATTTAGCCTGCAATATCACCAAATTTAAATCAAAACTGGGCCCGATTTGCCCTTCCTTCGTGTAACCTTCAAAGGGGCAAAAATAATGATAAAAATTGCTCAAAAACAAAAGCAAGAAGCTTTAACCCCAAATTATAGATCATATGTGCTTACAATGTACAAAAGGGCCCCAAAAAGATAAAAAAAAACCTAGAAATTGTTCATACCACAGCGGGCCCCAAAAATAATGTGACCCAGACAGGGAGGGATGGCCGCCAAACATCGCTGCCATGTTCTTTAAACCCCCTGTATTCTGCTATGATGAGGGGGTAAAGAGAGAGGTTGCCCTAGCCGAAACCCCCCAAACC